TCTCGCTCCCCACCTCCTGACCCCAGCACTCGGGGGGACGTTCCGGGAATCACCCCACCCAGAGCACCGGGAGTCCTCAGCTTGAAGCACGGACTTTCACTGCGCTGCTTCTACTGTTCCGGAGCCAGGTGTCCCGCAAAATTCTGCCTTCCTTTCCAGTTCAGTTCACTGTGCTTCATTTCAGCTTATTTCATTAGTAAAACAAAGAATTCAGTCAGGCTGTTTGAGAAATCCGCCTCTGTCTTATGGAATCCAGTCATTGCACGTTTAAGAGGTTCACTTTTCATCTTTGAACCTTCTCGATGTCCCCTCGTACTTTATGCGTTATTAGTCATCACCGTGCTGATTCTGAACAACTGTGTGTATGTGGAATAAAGTGCAGCCTGCTTGCTGCTGTACTTCGGGTGTGGACGTCCCCAAAGTCCGTGTGTTAAAAGCTTTGGCTTCAGCTCAGAAGAAACTTGAAGCCGTGGCCCAAGGGGAGGCTTAGGTCATGGACGGAGCCTCAGAGGGACTGCGGGTGCCAGTGTCGCCTCTGTCTTTCGTGCCCCAGCCGTGAGATGAGCGTGTTGTTCTCTGCGAGCCTCCTTCCAGGTCACCTGCTCCACAGGCACAGGAGCAACGCGTTTCCCCACCATGGAGGGAAACGACCCTGTGAGCCCAAATCAGTCCTTCTTCTTTATAAGCTGCTGATCTCGGGTGCTTTGTCACAGTGGTGGAAAACTAACAGGATTGGGACACATTCTTTCCATAATGTGCTTTGAACTTTTGCAATTATTCTACATTCCTTTTTCCCCCATAACCCTGCCCATTTACAAAGACTTTGTTTTGATTTTTTCATTTTGTCATATTTTTTCTTCTTATATCCTTTGCCATACCCTTTCCATTTCCCCTACCCCTTTAGACCTGTTCTTCCTATTTCACATTGTCAATTATACAATTTAGATTTTATCTTTTAATTTTTCATACCAGAGAAACTATTTGGTATTTACATGTGTGTGTCTTATTTATTTCTCTTAAGAGTATGGTCTCATTATGCATCCATTTTCCCATGAATGACCCCAGGTCATCCTTCTTTATGGCTGAGTAGTACTCCATTTTATAGAAAAATCACATCTTTATCTAGTCTCTAACTGATAGGCAATTGGGCTGTTTCCAAGTATTTGCTATTACAAACTGTGTATTCTATATTCTTTTATTTATTTTTTGGTGCCAGGGATTGAAATCAGATCCTTGTGCTTGTGAAACAGGCAGTGGAACCACTGAGCTAAATCCCCGGCTCTGTATTCTTTATTATTGATAATACCAAATGGTTGCATGAATTTGGTCATATTTACTAGTTTATTTTTAAAAATCTGACATTTTCTCTAAATGTAAAGTTTCAATTTCAGTGTGTGTGTGTGTATGCACATATACATGTATATACATACATATATTTGCGATAAAAGGTGTGATTAAAAATGTGTTTAAATATTTTTAAAAAATTACGGTTAACTACACATTGCCTTTAGTTTCCCTGAAAATCTACCCACTTGCTTTAAACACACACCCTATTGTTCTGCCCCTTCCTGAGCACATCTGGAATCACCTTTTGTGTCTTCAGCTGCCCTGTCCTGGCTCCTCCATCAGTTCAGAGCGTCCACCGTCCATGGTGACTGTGACTCAGGGAGGAGCCAGAGTCACAGGGCTCAGGGCTGTGGAGAGGACTCCGGTGGGTGCGGATTCACCATGGTGGTTTCCTGATCCCGCCTTTCTGGGGATGTGGAGTGGTTCCTGGCAGCGGCACTCACTGTGCTTTTAAAAATCACACCAGTTATAGACAGTAACAAGAGTATCCAGAGCTGCTCCAGGGTAAAAGAAGTGTTGTTTTAGTGGGTTTTCGTGGTACACTTTAGATGTGCATAATGGACACATTCATCTTAGGGAATTTGTACCTGTACCTGACACATCTTGCTTTGTCTTTTTTTCCCATCCCCTCCCCTCCCTTCAATCCTTGTGCTCCTCTATTTACAAAAGATTTGTTTCTATTCTTTTCCTTTCCATCCTTTCTTTTTCTTTTCCCTTCCTTTCTTTCCTCTCGTCTACCCTCCTTGTTCTCCTTCCCCTATGAGCCAGGCATGTTTAAGTATTGAATTTTCTCTGGGGTGAGAAGCCAAAAATATAATAAGATACCCAGCAGAGGGATGGCTGGGTCAAATGGAACCTCCAGTCCCAGCTGTTTGAGGTATCTCCGTACAGATTTCCACAGTGGATGCACCAGTCTGCAGTGCCACCAACAAGGGAGAAGGGTTCCTTTCTCCCCACAACCCCGCCAACATTTGTTACTGTGTGATTTCTTGATAGCAGCCATTCTTTGTGGGGTGAGGTGGAATCTCAGTGTTATTTTCATCTGCATCTCTCAAATGACTAGTGATGTGGAACATTTTTTCATATATTTACTTGCTGTTTTAACTTCTTTGTCTGTGAAATGTCTGTTCATTTCAGATGCCCATTTTTGAATCGGGTCTTTATATTGGCTGATTGTTTTGAGTTCTTTATATATTCTGGATAGTAGTCCTTTGTCTGAGGAGCAGCTGGTAAAATGTTTTTCCCCACATAGTAGGTGGTCTCTTAGTTCTGTTGATGGTTTCTTTTGCAGTGCAGAGGCTGATAAGATGAAATCCCAGCTGTTGATTCTTTCTGCTAGCCCCTGTGCTACTGAGGATTTCTTCATGAAATCTTTTCCTATGCTAATATCTTCAAGAGTTCTGTCTAACTTATCTTCCAGCAAGTTTAGTACTTCTGTTTTAATATTTACATCTTTAATCCACTTGGATTTTAATGTAGTACATGGTTAAAAATAAGGGTCCAGTTTGAATCTTTGACATGTTGAGATCCAGTTTTTCCAACACCATTTATTAAAGAGGCTATCTTTTCTCCACTGAGAATGGTCAGCTCCTTTGTCAAAGATGATGGGAGAATCATATCACACAGATATACGTGCACCTATGTTTATAGTGGCACAGTTTGTAATAGCTAAAACTTGGAAACAGCCCATTAGCCCATCAGTTGGAAACTGGATAAAGAAGATGTGGTTTTTCTATGAAATGGAATACTACTCAGCCACAAAGAATGAGAAATTAGATTCATTCATAAGAAAATGGATACATATTGAGGATATACTCCTAAGTGAAATAAATAAGTCACACACGTAAGTACCGAATAGTTTCTCTAAACTATAATAGTACATGAGATCCTAATGATATAGTTGACAATGTGAAATAGGAAGAAAGGGACTAAAGGTGTAGGGAAAGTGGGAAGGGTAGGGGTAAGCTAATAAGGGAAAAGGAAAATATGAGAAAATCAAAACATGGAAATGAAGTGTTTGTAAAGGGGGAGGGAGGAAGGGTGAAGGGAGGGCAGGGACAAGGGGAAAAAATGAGAACCAAGTCCTGTCATGTAAAGGTACAAGATCCCAAAAATGAATGTAACTGTACTGTATAACTAAAATGTACCAATAAACTCAATGAGGGAAAAATATAATAAAAACAAAAATTTATAAAGTATATGGAGAAATTTTAAAAATGTAGACATCAACCATTATTTAAATGAATCACCATTTTTTTTTTTTGTACCACGCATTAAACACAGTACCTTGTTCTTGCCATATAGGCAGAGGCATCACTGAGCTGCATTCCTGGCCCAAATTTAATTTTAAGACAATTTCTCATTGAGTTCTTAAACTTCCCAGGCTAGGCTTGAACTTTCTTTTTCCTTTTCTTTCCTTTTTTCTGGACCATGGATTGAACTAAGGACCTTGTGCTTGCAAGGCAGGCGCAGCACCACTGAGCTAAATCCCAGGCACCCAGTCACCACTTCTGCGTGCGTGTTACACACACAGGTGTGCACGGTTCTGTACCTTGAAACTAAGGGACCCATGTGACCCGTGAGGTTCCTGAGATCCACCTTCACCCCGAGATTCCTTTCAAATGAAGTTGGCAGCACAGTTTCCACACGACGTGGCTTTCTGAACTGAGAATTCAGATACAGGACTGCTGACCTGTGTGGGTCCTCACTTTCAGCTCCTCCAACCTATTTCACAGCCTCCCACTACTTCAAACCCCAATCCTGGAGTCAACTACAGGGCTGGATCCAGGTGACTTCCGGCCAGCCCTTACCCCAGTCCTTACTCCCGCCCACCTAGTTCCTGTGCCTCAGTGCCCGCTGTCTCCTGGTTCCTTGATGAAGATCACGGAGTCTTGGACCCCTCTGCACATGGCACCGCCTTTCCCTTTCCCCAGAACTCGGGCCTGGCCCTCGCCTGTCCCTCCACAGGGGAACTGCACCTCTCCAGGCACATTTCAGTCCCTTCTCAGTCCTCCCAGGGCCCTGTGGTCCCTGAGCTCTGCCTGCTCTTCTCTGGGCAGAGCCTGCCCCACTGTGCCCTCCCTGCTCCCCTGAGTCCCTGGGTTTGGCCTCTGTCCCTCCTGCTCCCCTCCCCAGTGTGGACTCCCAGGGTCTGCTTTCCTGCTGTGGGCTTGCAGGGGAGGCAGGGGGAGCCTGGACAGGAGCAGGAGGCCCGGGTGAGGCAAGGGGAGCCCCTGGGGGCTGAGAGGCAGAGGGCGGAGGGGCTGTGGGCGGGGCCTGGGCAGCAGGT